TGAGGATAGTTCGCTGGCAATTTCAGGCAAGGGGATGAGGAAATGTCGCTGGCAATCTTTACCGAGGATTGTGAGGATATTTCGCTGGCAGTTTTAAGTCAGGGGGTTGAAGAGATCTCGCTGGCAATTCCAAGCCAGGGGGTGAGGATTTTTCGCTGGAAAGCTTAAGCGAGGGGTGTGGTGATATTTCGCTGGCAGTTTAGTTCGCTGGCAGCTTGAACCGAGTGGTGTGAGGATATTTCGCTAGCAGCTTTTAAGTCAGGGGGTCGAGGATGTCTCGCTGACAATTCCAGGCCAGAGGGTGAGGTTATGTCGCAGGCAATTTCAAGCGAGGGGTGTGAGGATATTTCGCTGGCAGTTTTAGGTCAGGGGGTGAGGATATCTCGCTGGCAATTTTAGGTCAGGGGGTGAGGATATGTCGCTGGCAATGTTCAGCGAGGGGGTGAGGATATTTCGCTTGCAGTTTTAAGTCAGAGGGTTGAGGACATCCCGCTGGCAATTCCAAGCCAGGGGTGAGGATATGTCGCTGGCCATGGTTGGCCAGGCGATGAAGATATTTCGCTGGCAGTTTCAAGCCAGGGCGGTGAGGATACGTTCCAGGCGTAACCAAGCAGCACCATGTGCCACGCACGGGCGGTCAGGCGTGGTCGGCGGATTCGTTGGTTTGAGGTTCGGGGCGCATCATGCAGCCACAGCGTTGGAGTATGGATCACGTTCGACATTGGGCTGAGGCTCAATTCGTTGGTCTGGGGTTCGGGGCGCATCACGCAGCCACAGCTTTGGAATATAGAGCACCTTCGACATTGGATGCAATATTGGGTGTTCCACTGCCTGGCGGAGCAGAATGTATCACATCCAGCGCGGCGCTGCGCCCGTGTATATGCTCGCCCCTTGGCGTGGGGCTGACAGGGGGCCAAGGGGCGGTTTGCCCACTTTGCTTATTAGTAGTGTTATTATTACGGTTAGTAATGCTATTAGTGATCGTGCTGTTCTTGTTTTTGATTCGTATGACTGCCCGTCGGCCTGCATGAACCTCTTGTTCGTTCGCCTCCCCGTGTTCTACATCATTTGAGCACTCCTCCGCTCTTGCGTTCCTCCTTCTGGCCCTTCGCCTTCGCGGTCTGAATGGTACTGTGGTGGGGCATCGCTGGTCGTTCTGAGGTGCTCTCGGCCCTATGCAGCCTCGGGCCAATCCAGGTTCACGTACGCTCTGCTGTGGCTGTCGAGGACCCCCCGAGGGGCATCTCGAGCGGTGATGTGTCGTCTTAAGATTGTGGGGCGCGGTATGGACATGTATAGGGGCTGTCGGCGGTTGTCACCGTGTATGGTGTATACTCGAACAATATACTATTTGTCGTTAGTTGCAGAAGCTGTTGCTGGTTGCCTTCTTCGTGCCGCTGTAGGCCGATGCCAGGGCCATCCTAGTGGGCCCCAGCAGCCCTCTGGGCGCAGTTCGCTTACGGGGTTAACCATTCCAGCGTCTTTTCCACGGAAGGGTTTACCCCCCCCAATCCCCACGCCTGAACGTTCCCCCCCCCCGCGCCCAAGGGGTCATCCTGAGGGGGGCGTCTGGGGACTGCTTCTAAACCTTGGTGGGTCCTCCCAGAAGAGAAAGACCTTTCTCGACAGCGTCGGGAGCAACACTGCGTCGATTCGGGTGAAAGCCCGATGAAAGAACTGTTACATGTTTGTTGGCAATGCTCGGCAACAAAACACCCACGGCTGAGACCGCGAGGCGGACAACGACATTTCGAACACTACGCGCCAACGCCAAGAAGTGACCCGTGCGGTTCGGGTACGTGGAGGGGGGGGGGCAGAGGGGAAGACCAATCGGCAGGAGGAGGAGGGGGAGAACCAACGCAAACCCAAGATATATCAACCATGCTACCATAACGCCCTCCCGACCCTAGCCGCTCTGGCGGCGTCCGAAGACCCTCTTGAGTTGGTTCCCAAGGGACCCCGCCGAGGGTGTGCTTTGGTGTGGTGGCCATCCAGAAGAGGGGGGGGTGATCATCTTACGAAGATCATGGGGCATCCAAACCAAAGTAATCACGAAATACCGCTGATCCTTTGCCCGGGGTCGCCGCCACTCCGAGCGTGACGAATTATGTCACTTAACAGGCGGGCGGGCCGTGCTCACCGAAGCCCGCCCTCTGAGCGGTAACATCTACGCGCGTACGCTCGCGTGCATGGTGGGTGGGCGGGGGGCAGGCGGGGGAGAGCCTGGGTGCCCTGCGGGGGGGGCGGAAGAGGAGGGTACTGTCAACGGGTATGATGAGGATGTGGGGTAAGGGTGCAAGCATCTTGGACGCCAAAGGTAAAGCAAGCTAGGTTGTGGCATAGCTGAGGATGAGCTGAAGAGATAAAATACGCAAGGTAATGCATCTCATCTTGATCATGCGCGTTGACTTTAAGTGAATGGATAAGAGGAGAGGGGCGAACGGAGGAAGGGAGAAATTATAATGACACAAAAGACTGCAAAGGCTTACTATCCTTGGAGGTCCGCGCGGATGTCCCCAGTCGGCGCCAGACCCCCCCCCGTCCTGGCGCGCGAAGCGCGCCAGGGGGGATCCAGTGGACCTCCGAAAGCTAAGTGTATGCCTCCCTACACCTATATATGCATGAATATATATATATATATATATATATATATATATATATGGTTGCCCCCCCCATCCAAGATCATACATCCCGTCTTGAACCGCATTCATCCCCATATCCCTCCTATTCATCTTTACCACGTTTATCTTCACTATGTCTGCGCATCGGTATATATATATATATATATATATATATGCTCGCCCCCCCTTGTGATCATACCATCTGCCGTGACACAGGGATTATATTGGAAAGCCTCACAAAATGAATCCTTTGGACAGCACCACAAACGGATTCTGTTGGAAAGCCTCACAACCGAAATCCTTTGGAAAGCAGCACAAAAGGATTCTATTGGAAAGCCTCACGGCAGGAATCGTTTGGAAAGCACAACAAAGAGATTCGATTGAAAAGCCTTACAAAAGGAATCCTTTGGAAAGCAGCACAAAAGGATTGTACTGGAAAGTCTCACAAAACGAATCCTTTGAAACGCACCACAAAGGGATTCTATTGGAAAGCCTCACAAAAGAATCCTTCGGAAAACACCACAAAGGAATACGATTGGAAAGCCTCACAAAACAAATCATTTCGAACCACCACAAAGGGATTTGATTGGAAAGCAGCACACAAGGAATCCTTTCGAAAACGTCACAGAGGGATTCTATTGGAAAGCCTCAAAATAGGAGTCCTTTGGAAAGCACCACAAAGGGATCCGATGGAAAGCATCACAAAGGAATTCGGTTGGAAAGCCTCACAAAAGGAATCCTTAGGAAAACACCACAAAGGGATCCTATTGGAAAACCTCACAATCGGAATCCTTTGGAAAGCGCAGCAAAGGGATTCGATTGGAAAGTCTCACAGCAAGAATCGTTTGGAAAGCACAACAAAGGGATTTTATTGGAACGCCTCACAGCAGGAACCGTTTGGAAAACAACACAAAGGGATTTATTGGAAAGCCTCACAAACGGAATCCTTAGGAAAGACCACAGAAGGATTCGATTGGAAAGCCTCACAAACGGATATTCCAGATATTCCAAATCTTCACAAAAACTGCCCCGGTGAAAAACGCTGTGTTCTCCAGGTTTTCCAAATATTCCAAATCCTCCCTGAGATTGCCCTGGTGAAAAAGGTTGTGTTTTCCAGATTTTCCAAATATTCCAAATCCTCCCTGAGATTGCCCTGGTGAAAAAGGTTGTGTTTTCCAGATTTTCCAAATATTCCAGATCCTCCCAGAGACTGCCCGAGTGAAAAACGCTGTGTTTTCCAGATTTCCCAGGTATCCTAGATCCTTCCAGAGACTGCCCAAGTGAAAAACGTTGTGTTTTCCAGATTTTCCACATATTCCAGATCCTCTCGGAGACTGCCCAGATGAAAAACGTTGTGTTTTCCAGATATTCCAGATATTCCAGATCCTCCCAGAGATTGCCCAAGTGAAAAACGGTGTGTTTTCCAGACTTTCCAGATCCTCCCAGAAACAATGCTGCAAGCTCAGAATAATCTCTGCGAAGATTTGGAATATTTGGGATATCTGGAAAACACAAGGTTTTTCACCTGGGCAGTCTCTGGGAGGATCTGGAATATTTGGAAAATCTGGAAGACACAAGGTTTTTCACTGGGCAGTCCCTGGGAAGATCGGGAATATCTGGAAAACGTGGAAAATACAACGTTTTTCACAAGGGCAATCTCTGGAAGGATCTAGAATATCTGGGAAATCTGGAAAACACAGCGTTTTTCACTTGGGCAATCTCTGGGAGGATCTGGAATACTTGGAAAAATGGAGAACGCGGCGTTTCTCACCAGGGCAGTCTCTGGGAGGATCTGGAATATCTGGAAAATCTGGAAAACACAACCAATGATTTTCACCTGGGTAGTCTCTGGGAGGATCTGGAATACTTGGAAAATCTAGAAAACACAACGTTTCTCAACGGCCAGTTTCTGGGAAAACCTGGGAAACCTGGGAAACACAGCTTTTCTCAACGGTCAGTGTCTGGGAAAACATGGAAAACATGGAAAACCTGGAAAACACAGCTTTTCTCAACGGTCAGTGTCTGGGAAAACATGGAAAACCTGGAAAACACAGCGTTTCTCAATGGTCAGTGTCTGGGAAAACATGGAAAATCTGGAAAACAGTGAAAGCACAGCGGTTCTCAACAGTCAGAGTCCCGAGAGAGCCCAGAGACAGAGAAAGGAGAAAGAGAAAGAGAGAGAGAGAGGGAGAGAGAAAGGAAAAGAAGCAATCGAGGATGAGGAGACGAAAAGGTATGATCTTGGAGGGGGGGGCGACCATCTATACATATACATATATATATATATATGTATGTACATACTGAAACGAAAAAGAAGAGGGATAACGGAGGAAAAGGGAAGGGCAGGAGAGAGGGAAGGGGCCGCCGCGCCCATCCCTCCACGATTGAATTCAAGATCCTGTTCCTGTCGAGCTGCTCCCCGGCCTGGGATTGCAAATCAAAGCGGGCGCTCAACCCCCAAGCTGACCCGCTCCATGCCCGCTCCTCTCTCCTCTCCTCTCCTCTCATCCCATCCCCGTCGCCTCTCCTCCCCTGCCCCCACCCTCCCTCCTCAATCCACCTCATCTCCTCCTCCTACACCCCCTGTCACTTCTCACCCCCGCTCCCTCCGCACTCTCTCTCCCCCCGTGCACTGCCAGGCGGCTGTGTGCCAGCCGCTCCTGACAGGCTGGAGGTTGAAGCAGACTCGCAGTGCACAAATCCGCGCCCGCTGCCCCCCGTGCTGCCCAAGCGCTGTCGATGGTGTGTTCTTCCCCCTCTGGGGTCGGGGTCTGGGCCGTCTATGCCCACCATCTTAGACTTCCTGCCTGCCAATCCCCCCAGAACATCCTGGCGCGAGACTCCGATCCCAGAGGGGGAAGGGACTGGGATCGAGAGCCGGAGAATGCACAAGAAGGGGGAAGAGGGAGGAGGGGCAAGAGAGGGACATGGGGAGGGGGGGCGGGAGGGAGAGGGAGGACCAGGGAAAGGGAAGGGCATGGGGAGAGGAGGGAGGGTGGAGTGGGGGGGGACAAATTGGTTGGTAGGAGGAGAGCGGAGAAGAGCAGAAGATAACGGAGCAGGAATAATAGGAACAAGACTGAGGAGGGCGGCGACCATGACGAGAAGCAAGAGGATTGGCGATACGGAAGATGAGAACGATGACGAGGATGAGCAGGATGAACACAAGAAGACACTGTCCTTGCTTGTGTTGTCCCTGCCTCGCTCCTGAGAAGAACGGCCAGCACACTGAGCAACCATAAACTTCTGGAGGTCCGCGCGGCCCCCTTGGGTGAGCGCTGGACAGCCCTCCCAGCGCCCCGTCTTCGGCGCGCCCCTGGCGCCGGGGGGGTGCGCTAAGGCTTGTGCGGGAAAGGAGGGGGGGTCTGGAGCCGACCGAAGGAAACCGCGCGGAGGGCCTCAGCAGCATGACGCGCGTGTTTCTTTTCTGTTATCCGACGCCCCGTCCCCCCCCCCCAACGCTTGAAGGGCAACGATAGGGGGGGCCGGCTCAAGGGGGGGCACCAAGCATATAATCGGCGATGCTTCCCCGATATATCGGCGATAGGACCCGATCGCCGATAGCGGTTCCGCACGCTCCTGGGCGGGATGGGGCTATCGGACCCAAATTGGTTTTGATTGAGCGATTGGGGGTCGATGCGTTCCCCCTCAGCAAGGCCGCCCACGGCGACAGCAAAAGCAAATACCAACCGAAACGACAGCGAAACCGAACTTTCTCGAACCCGACAGGCCGCACTCATCCCAGAAAAGGGCGCAACGACGCGGCAATGACACGACAACCGACCTAACCTAACAGAACCTGCCGGACGCAACCGACTGCGACGCAGCCGAACCGACCGAACCGCGAACATCCATGCTGAAACAATCCCGCCCCAGCGTTTCGCCTACACGCAAGAGTTACCCAGGGCAAATATGAGCCTTGGTGCGCGGCTTCAGGGGGCCGCGGGGAAGCCGAATCCAAGCGTGCCAATCCAATGCTGGGGAGACCGCATGAAGGCCCGCACCACAAGACACTCTGGCGAAAAAAACACTCCAACGCGGAACCGATCCCCAACTTTGTCCTATCGTTCCGTGCATGCCCGGCGCCGCTCGGGGACCCACTCTGCCCAGCCGCCAGCTGGCCTGGCCATGCTGCACCTTCATGGACATGCCGCTCAGAAGCAGCTGCGGCGGCCACGGAATGGGGCGGACGCGGACGGGGAAGAACGGGCAGGACCCAAGGGGAGGGCGGGGACCCTTCTCCTCCTCCCTCCTCCTCCCCCTCCCCCCTCCCCCTCCCCTCCCCCTCCCCCCCCTCCTCCTCCTCTCCTCCTCTTCCTCCTCCTCCCTCCTCCTCCTCCTCCTCCTCCTCCTCCTCCTCTTCCTCTCCTCCTCCTCTCCTCCTCCTCCTCCTCCTCCATCCTCCTCCTCCTCCCCTCCTCCTCTTGCTCTCCCTCCTCCTCCTCCTCCTCCTCCTCCTCCTCCTCCTCCTCCTCTTCCTCATCCTCCTCTTCCTCCTCCTCCTCCTCCTCATTATCCTCCTCCTCCCCCTCCTCCTCGACGCTTCTGGAGTCAAGTATTCAGGAGACCCGAGATTCAGACTCGTCTCTTGGGCTTATATGGCTTTCGAGGGTTTCGATATATCTGATCCCGTTCCTGACCTCAGAACTGCTCAGACGTCTTCTGGAGGCAGCTGGGGGACTCAATATATCAACCACGGGAAGCTCATCGCGTTTTTGAAGTTCCTGGAGGAGGCCCCGCTGGGCCACGCTCTGATCTATGTCACGGACTCCTCGTATGTTGTGAAAAACGTCGCCAAAATAGAGCTCGACATATCTCCAGAACAACGTCGGAGTGCTTGGCGCCGAGTTCTGCGCCTGCTACGAGTCAAGACGACCACTGTCTTGAAGATCGAGTCGCACATGTCGCCTCAGCAGGCTGGTGAAAAAGATGTCCTGTGGTTCTCTTGGGTTGGAAATCATATTGCGGATAAGCTGGCGGAGACAATGTCCAAGCAGATCCAGCTCCCCCCCAGGTGTGGTCGAGGCCGTCCAGATCGCCGAGGGTCTGGCCCGTGCAGTGAGGCCCCGCGCATGTGACATGTTTATTGCGAGGTTTTCCGAGTCTTCGGGACCCCAGCCCAGGCCCCGTGTCCGAGCAAAAGCTCAGGCCAAAAAGAGTTCGGGGCCCAGCTTTAACCCTCGACCGAAGCTTGCCAGACTTCTCCGAGAGAGTGCGCACACCTTGACCCCAGTAGGCGAGACAGGACTGACTTGTCGTTTCGCCTGCAGGGTGTGCTGCTCGGTTATATCTACGAACTCCCCTGGAAATAAGGCCGCCCAGGCATGTTTAGCCACACCCTGCGTGAGCGCTCTGCCACGCGCGGGGATCGAGGGCGCCCGATCTCTAAGCAATGTGTTCATAGGTGCACGGTACGTTGACCCATATCATGTTATGGTCATATCTAGTAAGGGCACATACATATGGTTAACGTGTGGCGCTCATACCATCAGAAGCGCCCATACTATTCTCAGCTAATGCAAACAGGCTACGCCAACGGGTGTGGCCTTCCTCGATAACTTCAAGCGGGGTGAGGCGTAGTTGACCCACCAGAGCCGCTTCTGGCATCGGCATAGACCAGGTTTCCCGCTTAGCGGGAGATTTGGACCAGGCTGTCGCCAGATGCAGCTCCACCCTTTGCTTTTGAAACTAACCATCGGTTGTCTTAGCCTCCTCCTCCTCCTCCTCCTCCTCCTCCTCATAATCACCCTCCTCCTCCTCCCTCCTCCTCTCCTCCTCCTCCTCCCCATCCCCCTCCCCTCCCCCCTCCTCCTCTCCTCCTCCTCCTCCTCCTCCTCCTCCTCCTCCTCCTCCCCTCCTCCTCCTCCTCCTCCTCCCCCCTCCCCCTTCCCCTCCGCCGCCTCCGCCTCCGCCTCCGCCTCCGCCTCCTCCTCCTCCTCCTCCTCCTCCTCCTCCGCCTCCTCCTCCTCCTCCTCCTCCGCCTCCTCCGCCTCCTCCGCCTCCTCCCCCCTCCGCCTCCTCCGCCTCCTCCTCCTCCTCCTCCTCCTCCACCCCCTCCTCTTCCTCCTCCTCCTCCTCCTCCTCCACCACTTGTTCCTCCTCCTCCTCCTCCTTTTCCTTCCCCTCCCCCCCTCGTCCTTTGTACGCTCGACCGACATTCGGTGCGAGCCTGTTGCGTTTGCGAAATGCAGCATGGAAAAAACAAGGAACGATTCGGGTAAAAAATACCTGGCGGGCGCCAAGGGAGTGAAGTAAAAAGAGACGAAGCTAAGAGCAGTGTGAAGAGTAGGCGCCCTCCATGTCTTCGAGGTAGGCACTAACCTTAGTCGCAATGCCACCACCACCACCACCACCACCACCACTCCCCCTCAAATAAAATATAAAGACCGCCGTTCAATTGGTAATGCCACCTCGGTTGGTGAAGCACTGGCTGATATACAAGGAACGGCATGCGTGCAGGCGAGCATATTCCCAGCATGTACCTTAGTGCAACAAGCAGTACGAAGCATGCAACCATGAAGAACAAGACACATATTCGAGTCACACGCTGCGTAGACAAGAATGGCAAGTGAATGGTTGCAACAGCGGGCACGTGGGCAGATTGCTCACGTGTCTCCCGCTGTAGATAGCGAAAGAATACAGTATAGAATCTCCCTCCCGCCGACAATGCATCTCTACCCACGCCTCCCCCGTGTGTGATGTCCTACGTGGGCAGACTGCTCACGTGTGGACCAGTAAAAGATGAGTGGGGGTGCTGCTGCACCGAAGTAATCTCCGGAGTGCTGCTGCCTGGCAGTGTCCGAGGCTGCAGGTGGGATAGTTTATAAATTTCGACTGAACCCGAAAGAAGGGAACGTGTATGAATGGCTGGCACATGTTTTGTCAACTGGCCACGCTGTGGCATCTGCGGATGCCTTGCTTAAAAGTGCCGCAGTGACGCATCGTAGTGCACCCAAACCCAGCACCTCCACCCAGTAACCACCTCCCCACACCACCCTCAGTCGTAGAGTGATTAGATGAAAATGAAGCAGAGAAGCGCGCGTGAGGCTGGCACATACCTTGCTGGCTGGCCATGCTGTGGCAACTACGAATGGCCTGTCTTAATTAAAGGTATGAGTGAGTGTACCAAAAAAAGTGGCTGTCGCCAAAGTGCTGCTGCGTGGCTGTGTCCGAAGCTGCATTTGGGCAACAACAGAGATTTTGCTGGCAAGCCACGGTATGGCAATTGCACGGGTTGCCTGGCTTGAAAGTGTTGCGAATGTCGGTGAGTGGTGCCCTCTGCATTAGCAAGCACGATCATACGTTGTGTAAAATCCGCCGACCCTGTCGGCGTGTGTGAGGGGATTGTCCGTTCAAGTCGTCATCTCCGTCATTTGTTGGTCGTCGTCTCTGTCGTCCCTCTTCCCTGCCTCCCCCCTTTCCCTGGGCTCGTCGAAGCTCCCCCCTTTCTCAGGGACCTCCTCAGCGCGCCAGCCAAAGCGAAAATAAGCAACGTCGTACTTCAGTCGAAAGGAAGCACCTTCCCTTCGATCCCTCCCCCGCCGGGGGGGGAGGGGGTGGGGGGGGGTCACGGGGGGGGGGGGAGGGTCAGACGCCCCGGGGGGGGGTCAGATACGACGCCCCCCCTGGGAGTCCCAGAGCCCAAAAAAGCCCCAAGACGGGCCAAGAGTGCCCCAAGAGGCCCCAGAGACAGTCCAAGAGAACCCCGAATCGCCGAACGATCTGTCGAAGACGCCTTGACGGCCTCCAGACGGCCCAAGAGGCCTGCAAAGCGCTCCTAAGAGGCCTCCAGGAGCTTTCCCACGAGAGCCCCAAGAGGCAAAAGTCTTGGATTTCCGATACGTGTTTGAAAGATTTTGGCGTTCTTGCCTCTTCCGCTTCCCGACGCGGCAAGACGGCCCAAGAGGCCCCCAAGATCGCCCCGAGACGGCCCAAGAGGCCTCCAAGAGGGTCCCCTAACGGCCGAAGAGGGCCCCAAGACGGCCCAAGACGCCTCCAAGACGGCCCAAGAGGCACCCACGACGGCTCCAGGAGAGTGCCCAGACGGGGGACCCGAACGGACATTTCGAGCTCTCAGCCCCAAGAGGCCCCAAGAGACCCCGAAGAAGCCCCAAGAGGCCCCAAGAGGCCCCCAAGGGGCCCCCAAACTGCCCCAAGACAGCCCAGGAGAGCCCCTAATTGCCAAGGAAGCCTCCAAGAGTGCCTCGAGACGGCGCAAGAGGAGCCCTGGACGGCCCAAGACGGCCTCAGGAGAGCCACAGGCTGTCCCAAGAAAGCCACTGGCCTCCTCCTCGTACTCGTCCTCGTCCTCGTCCTCGTCCTCGTCCTCCTCCTCGTCCTCGTCCTCGTCCTCCTCCTCCTCCTCCTCCTCCTCCTCCTCCTCCTCCTCCTCCCCCTCTGCTCCCCTCATCCTGCTCTCCTCTGCCTCCTTCTCCTCCTCTTGCTTCTCCTCCACATCATTCTCCCGCCTCCTCCTCTCATCCACCTCCTCCACCCTGCCCCACCCCTCGTTTTCATCATCGTCGCTCTCAGGGTCGGCGGCAACGGCAATAAGGCCTTCGCAATAACGTGCGATCCTCGGATTGCTACCCAGATTTTCATTGGGTAGCCCCAAACCTGCAGAGGACGCGTCTGCCGCCCAGCCACCACCGTAGCTGAATGTGATGATGGTGTCTGTGCGGGCTCGCTGATGGACGCAGCCTGTATCAGGAGCCAGGATAACACAAGAGGAATAAGGCTGTACAGACTGCTTCCAAACGTGCGTGTGCATGGCATGCACGAAAGGGTAGAGTAGTTAGGGGGGGTCAGAGCGTGTGAAGTGCGCGAAAAGATATGAAATCCTGGGGCTGCCGCCCAGGGTTTTGCAGGATTGCCCCAAAACCGCATAATATTGGATACCACAATCATGTCAAAAAGCCGCGCGGGAATGGATGAAAGGTGTGTTAACGAACAAGACTGCAAAGGAGTTGCTAGCACACTGGAGGCTGGGAACGTGCAGCCATCGATGTGCACTCAAAAAAGGTGGCTGTCGCCGAAATGTCGCTGCCTGGCGGTGTCCGAGGCTGCAAATGCGAAACATCGAAGCTTGACTATAGTCTTGCAAGAAGGGGAGCATGTGTGAGTGGCTGTCTCATGTATTGTTGGCTGGCCACGCAAGTAATAAC